TGTAACATCACTTCTTAGTGGACCCTGGCACATAATGAGTGTTTAACAAATGCTCATTGACTGACTGACTGACTGACTGACTAAAGGGGAGAAGCAGCTTGCTGTGATGGGCCTTCCTCTTTGCTGGGAGTTCTCACTTTTGACCTTCCTAGAAACAAATCTAGCTGGGAGAGTCTGGTGTCAATTCTCACCAGTGGCCACTGCTGTCAGTCACCCAACCGGCTTGGCCCACCCTCCTGACTCTCTCCTGATACACACAGCCTAGAGGGGTCCCTATAGAGATCCACACACTCAGAATAAAGAAGATAGGACCCTATTTCCTTTGGAGCAGTGCTCGAGACACTGATGAGGAAAGGAAATCCACTAGGGTACGACCAAACACCACAAGCTTGGAGATTCTCAAGCGCAAAGTCCCAGGCAAGCTCATTCCCTTGGCCCACAAGCCACCGAGTCTCCCAAGTGAATACAGATGGGCTAGGCAGAACACCCTTGTGGTTGGTTTATGAGTCTCTAGCACTGGAGTCCAGACCGGGGTGGAGAACTCACAGATTCAAGGCCACATGTGGTCCTACCCCTGCTGTGGGAACCCAGCTGTGCCTCACCTGTGACTGCTGTAAGACACTTGTCTTACCTCGGTCTCCTCCCAGTGCCCAGAGCATCTCCCTTGGTGATAGCCAATCCCCAGGGACACTTGTGATAGACATGCCCCTGCTGCCCCTTCCCCAAACAGTGTCATCCTCCAATCTTTTAGACAAGAATTCAGCCCCTGTTGCACCCACACTCAGGCAGAGGAGACTGAAGAAATATTGAACTGGAAGCCTCAGCACATCACTGCGGCTCTCTGGGGTGGCGGTTGGGAGACCGTTGCTTTATGGGGTGCTAGCACATTTTAGAAAACAGTTGTGATCAGAATTAGATTTTGTGTTTAGTTGGTAGTAAATTTTCTAGGTTAGTTTCGAGAGGCCATTTAGGCCTCAGCTGTCTGACACAGCCCCTCTAAATCACTGCCTGGGATCCCTGACATGTAATATACTCTCCTGATGATTAGATTGTAAATGAAAAATATAGTCAGCATTAACACCACAGAAAATGAACTCTCATTGCCCTGCATGCACCTAGATGCCTCCCGACCTCTTCAGCTCAATGTGATAAATGGAAAATCATACAGATGTCCCATGGGTGTGGTGGGGGAAGGAGGGCATGGTCAGTGTGCAGAAACCTGCCCATTTGCAGACGGGCATGTCTGCCTGCAGATGTCCAAACAGGCCCTGCCCAAGGGCAGCAAATTAATTAAAGGCAATCTCTCTACCCAGAGCTAGGAATTCAAGCTACTGCCCAAGTGAGAAATAGTTCCGCTGCTTTCTCAAAATATCCCCTGATGAATTCACAGGTTGATCGATTTTGAGCTGGAAGAGACCTCAGAGGCCATCTATTCCATTTCTTTTATTTTACAGTTGCGAAAACTTGAACTCTGAGGAAGGTAAGTGACTTGTCCAAGGTCACGAGTTAGCAAATTTTCTAAGGCTGAAAGTCAACCAAGACTAAAGAGTTCACTCTTTGGTTTAATTTATCTTGGTGGACTCAATAAGTTGACCAGCATTACAGGGAAGTCACAGAGTCTGGTCTGCCTAGCACAAGAAAGAGCTTCCTTATACTCAGAGCTATCCAATGATGTAATGGGTGGCCTTGGCAAGTAGTGAGCTCCCCATCATTGGAGGCCTTCAAATGAAGGCTAGATGATTGATTATCAAGGATGTTGCAGTGGAGATTCCTGCTCTGGTCTATGTTGGACAGTGGGAGAATGTTGGTGTTAAAAAGATGTGCTACCCAGGTAGGGAGCAGTTTAAGGTCACTGATAACACTGTTATTTCCCAAATGCAATGCAGCCCACCCCCCTCCTCACATTCATTCAGTTCTAGGACCAACTCACTGTCATCTGTAATGCCTATTAATTGCTGGGTTAAATCAATGGACTACCCATCTAATGGCCAATATGTATTCTTCATCAGCCTAGTTTTTCTTGTGTGAATTGTTAGGTTGACCTCTTTTGAATGGCTGTGGAGTTCAAGAGGTGCTGCAATATTTCTAGACATAAAGCAATCAAAATAATGTCATCTGCAAACAAGAAGATCTGAAGGACCTCACCACCTGTCTAAAACTCCCCCTTCTATTTGGACTCTATGCAAGACATACACCATGACAATGGTGAACATCTCGCTGTTTTATGCCTCATTTAACATTGATAATCAGAAGACAGTTGAACAAAGTTGTGCCAGTGGGGTACAGCTATCAAGGAATCTTGTGTAATCTTTACATACTCAAGGCAGAAACAAATGGATGCTTAAAAAAAACCAAGGTGTGAAGATTTTTAAGGTCAAAGAAAGGAGGTGCAGGGGATGCCTTATCTTTGTCCCAGCTAATCTTTCCTCATTAAAGTAACAGTCTCTAGCAGCTCAGAAGTGCCTGGTAGAAAGAGAAAGAGACAAGAGACAAGCAGGTAGACAAAAAGGGGAGAAAGAAGAGATACTGAGAGACAGTAGAAGAAACAGAAAATAGAGGAAAAGATAAGAAACAGAAATAATAAGGGGGGATACAGGAAGGGACAGGGAAAGAGACAGAGAAGAGAGGCTAGAGGAAGAGAGTGAGGAGAAAGAGAGTTAGTGAGAAGAAAGAAGAGACAGAGAAAAAGAGGAAGGGAGGAAGGAAGGAAGGAAGGAAGGAAGGAAGGAAGGAAGGAAGGAAGGAAGGAAGGAAGGAAGGAAGGAAGGAAGGAAAGAAGGGAGGGAGGAAGAGAAAGAAAGAAAGAAAGAAAGAAAGAAAGAAAGAGAAAGAAAGAAAGAAAGAAAGAAAGAAAGAAAGAAAGAAAGAAGAAAGAAAGAAAGAAAGAAAGAAAGAAAGAAAGAAAAGGAAGGAAGGAAGGAAGGAGGAAGGAAGGAAGGAAGGAAGGAGGAAGGAAGGAAGGAAGGAAGGAAGGAAGGAAGGAAGGAAGGAAGGAAGGAAGGAAGGAAGGAAAGGAAGAAGGAAGGAAGGAAGGAAGGAAGGAAGGAAGGAAGGAAGGAAGGAAGGAAGGAAGGAAAAGAAAGAAAGGAAGGAGAGATAAAGGAAGGTACAGAAATTGAAAGCTTAGAGAGGAGATAGAATGATGAAAAATGAAGTTGGATAGATTTATACATGTTTGAGAGAGAGATAACTGTGTCAGGCTGGAAAGTAGATTATTCAAAGTAGTCTGGCACCAGCAGGAGAAGTCTTTGTGCCTTGAAATGAAGGAGGCCCTCATATCTACCAGGAACTGAACATTATGGGTCAAACCCCAAAGGGTGAGGGAGATGCTATAAGGTCACCAAGTACAGTCATTCCCTGTAAACTACCAGTCTTTGCCCTTCCTTCGTGCTGTTTCTGGATCCAGAAGAGGAACTGATGTTTTCCCTGGGTGAAGATGGACTGGGTTGGACTGGGGCAATGACAGTTACTTAGTCTTCAAATCTTATAGAGTTAGAATAGTAAAATCTTACAGAGCCCCCAGACCCAGCAAGATCATCCAGCCATCCCCTTCATTTTATGGAGGAGGAAACCTAGACTGAGAAAAAGTGCCCTGTTGGAGGTCACACAATTCAATTCCAAAAGCATTTAATGAGTTGCCTGCTCTAAACTAGGTACTGTACTACAGTCTGGGGAAACAGGCAAAAAAATAAAAATTAAGTGTTTAATAAGTGTTTCTATAAACAAAATCATCTGCCCTCCAGGAGCCTACAAAATTTACTAGGGAAAAACAACATGTACACATATGAATAAAAATAAAATAGATACAGAGTTAATAAGAAGTCATTTTAGGAGTTGGGGCGGGGGGAGCACTAATCGGTGGGGAGGTCCAGAAAGGCCTTAAGTAAGAGATCGTATTCCTAACTTTGAAGGAAGCTCACACTCCTTGGTACAGATGAGGAGGGAGTGTCCTCCGGGCATGACAGAGTGTCACCCATGCAAAGGCATGGATTGTCACAGACTGGGAACAGAAAAGGGGCCAGGTTGGCTGGCAGTAGAGGGTTTGAGAAAAGAAAAATGAATGCTCAGTCTGGAAAGACAAGTTGGAGCCAGATTATAAAGGGCTTTAAATGCCAGACAGAGAGGCTGGTTTTTTATCCTGGCAGCAATACAGACCTGCCCAGGTAGTAAGCTCCAAAGCCCGAATTCAAACAGAATTCTGGCTCCTTGAAATAATCCTCTAAAAAGGATAGTGTATTATTACTCCCATTTTATAGATGAGGAAGCAGGTTCAGAATGGGGAAATTATTTGCCCGAGTCCATGCTGCTACTATATGGCAAAAGCCAGTTGTGAGTCCTGGACAAACACTAAGCCCTGGTGCTTAGCACAGTGCCTGGTCCGTAGTAGGTGCTTAATAAATGTTTATTGACTATCTTACTAGGACCCAGCCCCAGAGCTTCCACAACACCTATGTGCTGCCCTATATGTCCAGGTCTGCTTGGCTCCCACGCAGAATTTTTGTGTAATAACAATAACTCGGGTTGCCATAGAATTTAAAGTATATGAAGTACTTTCATCACAACAACCCTGTGATTGTGCATCATGCAATTTTTATCATCCCCTTGTTACCAAGGAGGAAACTGAGGTTCAAAGGGTAAATGACTGGCCTGAGGTCCCAAAGTAGCTGAGCTTGTCCACGCAAAATTCCAGATGCTAAAAATTCCATTTCAGTGGGGGTATGGGAATGGGCAACACCAGGCCTTGAGCTTCTGGGAAAAGAAAGTTCCTCTGGCCCATTTGCCTAGCCTGAAAAAAGGCTTCAGGCCCTGGGAGACCTGAAGGGATTGTGCTGCCTGGAGATCCTTCAACTTAATGACTAATTACTGCAGAGCAGTGGGCGGGATTTTGGCTAGAGATCGGCCCTGCCACTCCATGAATAATTTGCATACAAAATGCTTGATTTTGGCAATCTATTAAAGAGCGGCCCAGTGCTAGGGGCTTATCGCAGGCGCGCAGCAACTGGGAGCCTTGGCTATCTCCGGAAGTTCTGTTGATGCAGAACAATTTGAAGCCCGGCCCAAGCTGGTATGACATTTAAAGATGCCTTCACTTAATTATGTTACACAAATATTGGGTTGTTTATCCTGGGGAATAAAGTCTTTGGGAAGTCAAAGTTGGCGTGGGCAGAAAGAGGACGTTCTAACTGATTCTTCAAGAGGGAGCCTCTGAGCTCCAACAGAGAAGGTGGGTGGGAGGATAGAGTGAGAGGAGTGGGGGGGAAGGAAGAGGGGGACTGCTATTTTCCAGAGAATGCCCAAAGAGAAGGACTCTGTGGGTGAATAGCAGAATCCGAGGTTTGCTTGGTTTCATTCTTCTTTGGACTGATCTACCCAATGTTCAGAGGATCACGGATCTGTAGCTGAAAGGGATCTCTGAGGCCATCTGCTCCAACCTCTCCTTTTACAGATGAAGAAACTGAGGCCCTGGGCAGGTTGTGACCTACCCAAGGTCACACAGATAGTAAAGGTCAGAGGCAGGTATTTAACAATGAACCAAGTGATAAAGGCTGGCTGGGGAAAGGAGAAACTATTAGCCTTGTGAACTTGATCATATTAATTCCATTCTATATGCCTCAGCTTCCTCTTCTAAAAAAAATGGGGGTGTGGGGCAGCTGGTGGTGCAGTGGATAGAGCACTGGCCCTGAAGTCAGGAGGACCTGAGTTCAAATCCAGCCTCAGACCAAACATTTGGTTCGTACTACCTGTGTGACCCTGAGCAAGGCACTTAACCCCAATTGCCTAAAAAAAAAATGGGGGTGGAGGTATATATGTGTTAAGGGGGGCATTGGTTTCACTCTCATATTCTGTATTCTAAGGTTCTTTCCGTTCTAATTTCTGTTTCTATTCTCCTCGCTCTGATAGTTTATGTTCTATGTTAAAAAGACCTTTCCACCTCTAACATGCTGCATTCTTTAAGAGCAACACATACTTTTGTGCCTTCTTTGACATCTATTCCACCATAGGAGAAAAGGCCATTCACTTTTTAAATTTTTTTTAATTTTTGTTGATTTGTTTTTTCAATCACCATTTCTAAAAACTATATACTCCTCTATTCTCCCCTATCCAGTGAGCCATCCCTTATATCCAAAAAAAAAAAGGAGGGGAACAGTTCAGCAAAACTGATGAACTGTCTAACAGTTTATATGATGTTCCACACCCATAATCCCCCACTTCCACAAAAAAGGTTTGTTTTGTTTTCTCTCTCCCTCTCTCTCTCTCTCTCTCTCTCCTCTCTCTCTCTCTCTCTCTCTCTCTCTTTCTGGTAGTACACAAGTTTAAACACCATTCATTTTCTAACTCTTTAACCTTGCACAGCTTTACTGTTACAAAACGGTGTGAAAAAGGGAGTGACTTGCCAAAGGTCACACACATCTAATAAATCAGAGCTAAGACTTGAACCCCAGATCCATGAGACAAAGTCTAGAGTAATTTCTATCACAATGAACTCAGAATTCCCCAGATGACTTCTGAGGCCTGGAAAGAAATGGGTGGAGAGTGAGAAGGTGGGAATAGAAAGGAGATTGAGTTTGTCCTGGGAATAAGAAGAAAAAATTAACTGAAGGTTTTTCCTAAAATACTGGCAAGTCCAGAAGCAGTTGATTCCTTCCAGCATGGCTATATGTGCCCATAGATCCTAATTGTGGGAACTTTCAAAACTCAGGGCAAGGGAGCTAGGGGGCCAACACACCCAAAGGGGGGCAAAGGGCAAAGGGCAAAGGGACAAGGCTATCAGGAAAGCCTGTTGTGAGGAGAGTTGAGTTTGACTGACCACCTCGTAGAGCATCAGTGACAAGAGATGCACATACTCCCACAAGGCTTTGAAGGTAAACCAGATATAATGGCACCCAACATGGGCCAGTCACCCTGCCACTCATGGAGCTAGATTGATGGCACTTAGGAAAGGGTGAGTCTCTGGGGTGGCTTGCTAGCACCCTGTTCCAGCACAGGAAATGTAGAGACAAACAAGCACAGTGAACGTCACCGAAAGCAGCATCTCCCAGGCCCTAGAGCCAGGACCCTGCTCTCCTGGTTCTTCACGTAGCTGTGAGAAACATGGATGCTTCCACAATGCCTTCTTCACTAGTCCCAAGTTAACTGCACGTATTCCCTCTTTCTTGGCAAAGCGAATGGGATGGGGTCCAGACTAGAAAGAGTAACCATCTTGGGTGGGGCTGTGTCTGGGGGTCCAAAGGAATGCACAATCAATGTTATAGTGAGTAATTTGATTAGCTTATTTAATCCAATTAAATTATCGATTGAGTTGATGACATCTTGGACAGAGGTTTTTGATTGACAGTTGTGAATGGAAAAAAAATGGAGGTCAAGCCAAGATATTTGATTAGTGGACACACACATATGTACTCCTAGACACTGGAACCCTGGGTAGTCCAACACAGAAGTGGAGTCAGTAGGTAAGTGATAAGGAGTTGCCTTGAGGCTTCTGCCTGAGAGGAACAGGCAGCTTGGCTCATATCCACTGCACCCCCTGGTGGTTAAACCATGGAGCTGCTAAAAGTGGTGACTGTTCAATCCAATTCAGCAATTGTTTGTTAAGGCTCTATTATGTGCATGCTGTTACTGTGCATCAGTCCCTGATGGTGCATATTCCTTTCATTATCCATTACTCCCCTTCCCATCAGACTGGCCTTTCTGCTGTACTTCACCAATGGCGCACCATCACTTGTATCTGTTCTTTTGCACTGGCCATCCCCTATGCTTAGAATGCACTCTCTATTCAACTCTACCTCTTAGAATTCCTTCCGTAACATCTTTCCCGATTCCCCTTCCTGATTTGCTAGATCTCTCACATCCAAAATTACTTTGCATTTATCTTTTAGAGACTTCTAAATGGATATGGTGTCTGCCCTAATGGAATATAAGCTTCCTGAGGACAGGGGCTGCTCCATTTTTGTCCTTGTATCTCCAAGAGTCCAGACTCTTAATAAGTGCTTGCTGATTGACCTTTGACATGATAGCTGTCTATTTGAAGGGCTACTATGTGGAAAAGGTCACCAATAATGAAAGGCAGTGGGGTATATTGGACTGAGAGCTGATCTCGGAACCAGAGACCTGCGTTCAGGTCTCTGACACAGACTAGCTGCGTGACCCTGGGAAGTCATATAATCTCTCAGTTCTCTAAACAACTTTCTGAGACTCTAGATTTATAGAAGATGTAGACCTAGTATTTTCAATAGCGCTATAGCTACAATGCTAAACCTTTCATTGGTAGAGTTAGTCTTTTCCAACGGGAGTTCCCTATGCCAGTGAAATCACATGCCCAGTCACTATCCCCGGCACTTACCACAGAGTCTGGCATGTAGGAGGCATTTGATAAATGCTCTTTAATTGATTGATTGGATGGTGTGCGCAGCACAGAGCTAAACACTGGGGATAGAAAGGCAGAAAATGACACAGTCTCTGACCTTAGGGAGATTCCAGACTAATTGAAGAGACCTAATACTCATTCAAACGGATACAAATAGATACTGACAAACTGAGCTAGGAGTTGAAGGAAAAGGCAGCCTTTAACATGCAGTGATCCGCAGTGAGTATTTGCAACAAAGGAAACATCACATTCAGACATAGAGAGGTGGGAGAGGGCTGGACAAGTATGGGGAACAACACACACTATCATAAGTCCAGAATTGGAAATGAAGGGCAGTGGCATGCACTAGGTCTGGAGGGCTGGGCTACAGTCAGATTGGGAAAGACCTGGAATGCCAAAGTTAGGAATTTGTACTTCATCCAGCACACTGGGTGGGCCTCTGGTGGTAAACTTTTTGGAGGACAAGGATGAGGACACAGGACATAACAGGCAAAAACAGATTACAGGCTGCATCATTGGATGAAAATCCCAAATTGATGAGATCACAGATCCATTTGCATATTGGAGAAGAGAACTAAAAGGATTTAGCAATCAATTGATTGCAAGAGTAGGGATGAGAGAATAGTCAAAAATGAGTCGACTTGGAGGATAACAATGCCCTTTCAATTCAATAAGCATTTATTAAGCACCTATTATGTTAGTCAGTAAGTTAACTAGAATTTATCAATGCCTACTGTGTGCCAGGAACTAAGCCAAGCTCTACAGATCTACAGAAAGGCAAAAAATAGTTCCTGCTGTCAAGGAGCTCCTGATATAATGGTATATATAGATAACCTGCAGGCAACTACGTATAAACAAGATGAAGACAAGATCAACTGGGGGTAGTCTATAAAGGAAGACACTGAGATTAAGGAGGGCTGGGAAATTCAAAGACTGGGAAGTGCAGAGGCAGAGATGAGGAGAGAGAGTATGTTCCAGGCATGAAGGATAGCCAGTGAGAACACTTGAAGTCAGGAGGTGGAGTGTGTGAGGGACAGCAAGGAAGCTGGTGTCACTGATGAGAGAGTACATGAGGAGAAGTAAGATATAAGAAGATGGGAAAGGCAGGAGGGGCTCAGGTTATGAAGGGCCAAAAAAACCCAACAGAGGATTTTGTATTTGATCCTGGAGGTAATCAGAGAGCCAGTGGAGTTTACTGAATGGGAGGGGGGGATTGAACCTTCTTAAAGAAGATCAATTTGAAATGCTATCCACATCCAAAGAAACAACTGTGAAAGTTGAATCGCTATCATTTTTTTCTCTTCTGTTGAGTTTTGTTTCCTCTTTCTGATGGTTCCTCCTATTGGTTTCAATTTTTACTTACATCACTAATGTGAAAATATGTTTAATAGGAATGTAAATGTAAAGCCTATATCAGACTGTGTGCTGTCTTGGGGAGAATGGTGGGGAGGAAGGGGGAGGAAAATTTTCAACTCAAAAGCATATGGAAGTGATTGTTGATAAATCAAAATAAATTAATAAATTTTTTTTGAAAAGGAAGATCAATTTGACAGCTGAGTGGAAGATCTATTGGAGTGGGGAGAGGCTTGATGCAGGGAATTGCAATAGCCTAAGCATGAGGATGTTTATGGCAGTGTCAATGGAGAGAAAGGGACTAACAGAGAGATGTTTGCTTATTGTTCAGTCATTTTCAGTCATGT